TGCCACTTTAACCAGAAAGGACACTCTCTAAATGACTTAGCCACCTGCATTCTGCTACAAAGACCTTTTACATCTGCACTTGAAAGGGAATCCTCTGAACTGTCATTCATGTTAAAATTCGACACTTACCACCAGGGACTTAACAAGTCTTTGAACTTTCTCACCCATTATCAAGACAGTTTCCCCAATTATCACCTGTAATACCATTAACTCACAAACATCCCACTCTCCCTACCTTTAATATCAGCAATTCACAGACACTTACCTTCCTTCCTCCCCCTTCCCACCCCCCCGCATCCTCCTTCTGTTCTGCAATGTGATTTGTCCTTTTCATATTTGTTCTTTTTTTTAATTGTATCCTTTGGTATATATGGTTGTGACTACTTTCTTCCACTATTTGATCTGAGGAAGTGGGTCTGGCCCACGAAAGCTCATCATCTAATAAACCATCTTGTTAGTCTTTAAAGTGCTACATTGTCCTGCATTTTGCTTCAACTACCCCAGACTAACACGGCTACATTTCTATCATCATTCCTCCCTCACATCCTTCCACTTACCCCTCTCTACCCCCCTTCCTGCTATACAATAAAAGACATGTGTTCATTACAACAAACTCTCTTTATTGAACAAACCTGCAGTGGGGGGCGGATGAAGCTGAGGTGAGACTGAGGAAAGAAGGTGGGAGGGGGAGGAGGGAGGATGGGAGAGGGGAGGGGGAAACCTGGGAGGAGGGAGCTGGCAGGGGGAGGCAAGGGGAGGAAGGGGGAGGAGAAGCTCAGGGATCAAGGTTGGGGGTCTCACTGGTCCAACTGTCTCCCAGCACCGCAGGTGCGGGGGCCTCTGTATCCCTGCGGGGTGGGGTAGGGTGGGGTGGGGTGGTGTGTGGAGGGTGTGGAGGAAGAAGCAGGAGGGGGAGGAGGAGCGGTAACTGGGGAGGCAGCAGGGACTGAAGCGGCAGGAGGCAGCACACTCTGCACCAGGGTCTGTAGGTGCTCTCAGATGGCACGGCCCTGGGCAAGCTACTCCTGCCGAAGTTGCAGGTCTTCCTGCACCCAGTGGTCGAGAGTGCGGTGCAGGGTTCACAGTGCCCCCAGGTGCTCCTGCTGGTACCCCTCCACTGCACAGGTGGGCCTGCGGTGTCCTCGGGTGTGGGAGGATGTCCTGGGTGGTGTGGTGTGCCCTGCACTCACAGCTGGTGCGGCTGTGGAGAAACAAGAGAAGTGGTCAGTTCTCCCTGGGGACACAGGGGGTGAAGCCCAGCCCCACTCTGCAAGGCGAGAACAGGTCTCCGCACCATCAGAGCCAATGTGCTTCCACAGAGGCCATGTTTGGGATGTCCTGCTATCCCCGGGAGTGGGAGCTGCCCTGGGACTGCACCCATGCCCCTGTGCTGTACATAGTGTGGGTGTGTGGGGGGAGGAGATATCCTCTGCCTCTGTGTAGATGGGGCTTGTGGAGGGAGGGCATCCTGCTGTGTCCCAACACGGGGTCAGGAGCATGATATGTCTCTTCACACACGCGTGTGGCTAACAGGCCAAGGCCCCTGTGTGGCAGCCAACTGGAGCCACGTGCCCAGGGGTGGCATGGTACGTGCTTGCACGTGCACAGGTTGCTGCATGATTCGTGGTCAGCAAGGCCCACATACACGATCCCTGGTCTCCCTCTCCTCCCCACCCCATAAGGGGACAGTGATGGCACTCACATGTTGTTGCCTCCTTGGATGACACCAGTGACAGGTCCGCTGGGATGGCTCGGGGGTCCTGGCTGTGCAGCATGCTCCCTCTGGGCTCCTAGCCCTCCTCCTCCATGCCCTGGTCAGGGCCCTCTGCCCGAGGGTCGATGATCACCTGGGGGGCACAGACCGTCCCGGCCCCCCCCAGGATGTGGTCCAGGGTGTCAAAATAGGGGCAGCTCTCTGGGTCTGCCCCTGTTTGGGAGCTGCCCCATGGCCCTGACATAGGCCTGTCGCAGCTCCTTAATTTTCATCCGAACCTGCTCCTGGGTTCAGATGTGGCCTTTGGTGGCCAGTCTGGCATCCATCCTTCCATAGATGGCCGTGTTCCTCCATCTAGTATGGAGGTCATGGATGTCGGAGGCATCCCCCAAACCTCAATCAGGTCCATGATCTCCGCACTGGACCAGGAAGGCGCACTGGACCAGGAAGGCGCCTGGCACTGGCTGCCTGGCTCGTGCTGGGGCCACTGGGTCAGGGGCAGCGAATACTGGCTCTGGGCTGGCAGGGTTGGAGCTGGCACAGACACTGTTGCCAGACTCTACCCCTTTAATGGCTCCGGGAAGGGGAAGGAGGAGAGGAGTTTTCCTGGTTGGGGCCAGAGTGGCCAGCAGGGCATCCTTGGAAGGGCTGGAGGCCCCCTATTTCGAAATAGCCCCTATTCCGCATCTACACAGCACCTATTTCAAAATAGGTGCTATTCCTCGTGGAATGAGGTTTACCAAGTTCAAAATAAGCCCTCCGGTATTTCAAATTAATTTTGAAATAGCCATTAGCTTGTGTAGATGCTAGTACAGTTATTTCGAAATAATGGCTGAGATGGGTGGGAGCCGGTCCCCAAATCAAGAGAGAGAAAGAAGAGGATTTGTTTTCTATATGGCAGTATTAGGAAGCTTACTCAGAAAGAATGTTTTCTAATGTCTCTGTGAACCGTAACTTTAATGCTGTAGAGATGCTGGTTAATGACCAAGATACAGGATCTACCTGAAGGGAAATTTAACAGAGCACTATTAACTCATTTGAAAAGACACAATAAAATTCTGTACAGTATTTAACGCCCTGCCCTACAATCCAATGTAATGACAAGCAAGTGGCTTACTGTGCTCCTCACAGTACATCAGCACCTCTAGGTAGGGATGACAGCTAATGGACAGTGTCAAGCTAGAGCTGCATACAAGGGTGGCAGAATCTGCCTTTAAAGCTATTTTAAACCATCTTGTAGACATAACTATTAATCACCAGTTACACGTTCCAGGTGCAAATTAGACAACTCGACAAAACCCATTTCACTACCTGAACTGAAGCAGTTTTTGGCAGCAGTGGGAGTTTACTTCAGTGACCCTGTGAGCACTGCAAGAGTGCTGGTGATTGAAGTGATAGAACTCAGTTCTCTTCCCCAACTATGTTCCTGTAGGGGATGTTGGAAGAAAATGTTTAAGGAATTTCAAAGGGGTAAGAAAAAGAAGTCTAAAAAATGAAGTGTCATTTTTGAGGGGAAGAGCAAGAATGCCCCGCCTCTCTTGAAACCCCTCCTCTGCTGGTCTTTAATGATTTCTCCCTTTGGTCTCATCCATCCATTGTATCTCTGAAAAAATAACTTCATTTAGCAAAAATGAACTGTACAGCGACGACTGCATTCAGCCACTCAGAGGAACACAGATATTGGTTGCTGTTAGGGAACTGGATCAAATTCTATCCAACAATTTGGAGATGCTTAGGAACATTTTCTGAAGAAGTGCATCTATAGGTCTCACTGTAATTGCTTCTTCACTGTAAGGAGTTACAGGAGCTTCTCTCCAGGTTCCTTGCCAACCAAATCTGAAGTTCTCTCTGGAGCAAACACAACAGGGACACTGCTGTGTCAGCAGTCTTATTCCAGGTTCACCCGGACTGTCTTTGTTCCCTGTCTTGTTTTCTCTTAACCAACTGCTCTCTGCCAATTGTCTCTGCCAACGACTATCCCTTTGGTCATTGGAAGGGATATTAATTTAACTGCAGCAGACAGAGAGAGGATGTGAAAAACAGGACCAAAGAACAGTGGCAAGGCAAGTCTGTTAATTAGCTGTCAGTGACAGGCACCAGAGAGAGTTTCTCGCCTCTCCGCCTCAAGACAGCTTTTCTCTTTGATAAACACTGACATGTAACTGGTACTGTACAAGTCACAAGTCACTTAACCTCTCTGCTCAATTTATGAAGCCCCAAACAGTTGTAATAGAATAGTAATTACCCCACTGTGATTAAGCTGTAGTTGGCTAGATAAATCTTGCAATGCTGTATAGAGTTCAAGTGTCAACATTTTAAACTGGATATTAAAAAATTGGAGAGCGGGAAGAAGAGAACTACAAAAATTACCAGAGAAAGTCCCTCAGGATATGTCTACACCAGCCACCCTAGTTCGAACTATGGTGGCTAATGTAGTCATTCGAACTTGCAAATGAAGCCCGGGATTAAAATATCCCAGGCTTTATTTGCATGTTCCCGGGCGCCGCCATTTTTAAATGCCCGGTAGTTCGGACTCCCTACCCACGGCTACATGCGGCACGGGCTAGGTAGTTCAAACTAAAGCCCCTAATTCGGACTACCGTTACTCCTCCTGCAATGAGGAGATTTCCTCCTTTCAGAGCAAGACTGAAAGCCCTTCTGGAAGATATGCTTTTGCCAAATACAAATGATGCTTTATTCAAACAAGTTATTGAACTCACAGCAGAGGAAAATGAGTGAATGGTAAGGTCCTGGGACATACAGGAGATCAAGCTAAATGATCTAATGGTTCTTCTGGTCTCTAATGGTATCAACTCAATGAATCTATGAACTATAAAGTATATTGAAGTCCTTGGATGAAATGTGGCTAGATGTATATAGCATACTGGACTTCATTACAGGGAATTCCCTGCAACTGACTCACTGGCCATTTTGAATTTCAAAAAATAAGTAACCCCAAAGAGGATATGATTTCTGTGAATTTCTAAAGAATCCCCTCTACATGCTTGTCAGAAGTGACCGCTCATTACATGCTCTATGGGCTAGCATGTTTAACTTATAATTCCTGCCATTTGTTGCTGCCTCCTTAACCCCAGCTCTTCTTTTGAAAGCCTGCTCTGGTAGCACAATGTTCCATAAATGCTGCACTTGTCTCTCCAGACAGAAACATCTAAGGCTTAAAACTCACAAATCATTCTAATGAAGTGAACAATTTGCATGCCAAAGGAGCATAGTCTCAGAGGAAATAAGTATTTCCCACTCTTTCAGAGTCTTCTTTTGCACTTACCACCGGATCTGTCTTGCTGCTGTAGACCTTCTGTGGAGTGAATTTTAATTTGGGTAACTATCCGAGGGTAACCACACAGAGTGCTCCAGCATGTCAGTTTAGGCTTATCTAGCTTCAGCTCCCTGCAAGATCAAGATTAAGCAGTTAAAATCTTTGGTGATGAATGTCAAGCAACAAAACAGTGAACTTCAGTGGAATTTTGATTTTTCTGGAACATAAACATGTAGTTCTTTACCTGTTTATTATTAATGGTTTCTGTTCCCGGAATGACATAATTAAGTAAATAAAAATCTCTCATATGACAACAATACATGGTGGAAAACCCTAAAAGTTACAGATATTAATAGCAACACAACAACATAATGGGCCTAATATCTTTTTTCATCCATTTTACCTTGTATATTTCCATTGGTTTCAATGGAATTACTCCAGATTTTGCCAGTGACCAGCTCATGAGTGATCAGGTGTAGAGGCTGGAGTGCGCAAGTTAGAGTTGAACTTAGATGGGGTAGCTTGAAGAGCAAAGCCAAGAATTACAGACTAAGCCAAAGGGTTAACCAGAGTTGTAGTCAGAATATATAGTGGAAGACCAGAGCTGACAGTCAGGCCTTGTCTCTAATTACAGGAAGATCAATGCTGTGGAGATCAATCTACCTGGGTTTGATTTAGCAGGTCTAGTAAGGCCCCACTAAATCGACCACTGACCATGCCTCTGTCAATGCTGGTACTCCACCAGGTTGCGAGGAGTAAGGAAAATTGATGGAAAAGTTTTCCCCGTCGACCTCCCACGGTGGGGATGCTGCAGAAATTTAAACTAAGGTATTCATGTAGCTGGAGTTACATATCTTAGATTGACTTGTCCCCTAGTGTAGACCTGGCCTCAGAAACCAAAGCCTAGAGGAAAGGGTTTCAGTCACACATGAGTTTCAGTCAGAAGGCAAAACCAAGGATCTGAGAGGGAAGTGAGAAATCAGGAAGAAGCTGGGGGCTGGAGAAGGAACAGTTAAAGGCTGGGGTTGGAGCAAGACTAGAAACAGTGGAGGCCAGGACAGGACCAAGCGTAGCTGCAGGCAAGGGATCCATTGAGCAGCTGGCTACTGAAATACTGTTGCTACTCAGCTTAAGTAGAAGTCAGCTGATTCCTTCAACCAGTCAGGTGGCTCAGTCAGACAGCTTCAATGAAAGCCAGCTGCACTCATTAGGTTGCCAGGAAACTGGCTCTGCTGCAGGCTGTTCCCTTGACAGCTCTACACTCACATAAAGAAGAATAAGACCCAATAAACAAAAAGGTTCACAGTGTAGCTGACATGAGGAAGCATGTGCATGGGAGACTGCATGACTGAAGCAAGTAGCAATGGGGTCAGGGCCCTTTCCATCAGTAGATCCCCAGGTTAAAATCCACCCTGACGTTGCAATTTATAGATGTTAGTGTCATCTGTGCAGTGGCCTGTGATAAGTGACTTTGGTGATCAAAAGAACCTCTCTGCCAACAGCCCAAACTGGCACTCATGCTGAAAATGCCACAGTAGAGAGGTCAAAGATTGAATGGGCTATGGGGAGACTTAATTATCCTCGCATCCCTAGAGGCAATCCCTTCCAGAGCAAGTCATTGTGGGGAAATTTTGCACTGCTGCTGCCCACCATGCAGTCCCAATTCTATGAGCTTCCTCAAACAAGCATCTCTTTAGATTGGGTTTGAAGGCTGACTTGTGTCAGAGACTTCAACTCAGTGTCCCATTTTACAGGTGTAAATATTTGATGCCATCGGCATGTCCAGTGACCTGGTCTGTGAGCTAGATTGTGAGAGAAGCAAATGGAATCAAATACACGTGTAAATACTAGTGCCCACAAAATTACACCTGCAGAATAGAAGAGGACTATAAAAGTCAGACCCACGTGCAAAAATTTCCCAAACTCGAGGGTCTACAGTGGCAGACAAACAATGTCTTGCCAAGTCCTGGACAGAGCTTTCAGACTTAAGACAAACTTTACTGAATTAAGTTAAAACTTATTTGGCTGTGTCTAGACTGGCCAGTTTTTCTGTAAAATCAGCCGCTTTTCCGGAAAAACTTGCCAGCAGTCTACACTGGCTGCTTGAATTTCCGCAAAAGCACTGACTTCCTACTGTAAGAAATCAGTGCTTTTTGCGGAAAATACTATGCTGCTCCCATTCCGGCAAAACTTTTGTGCAAAAGGGCCAGTGTAGACAGCTGAGATTTGTTTTCTGCAAAAAAGCCCCGATCGCAAAAATGGCAATCGGGGCTTTTTTTGTGGAAAAGTGCTTCTAGATTGGCCACGGACGCTTTTCTGCAAAAAGTGCTTATGCGGAAAAGCGTCCATGCCAATCTAGACGCTCTTTTCCGAAAATGCTTTTAACGGAAAACTTTTCCGTTAAAAGCATTTCTGGAAAATCATGCCAGTCTAGACGTAACCATTGTGTTCAAACCTTATGCTAATGGTTGAATCGTAATATCGGATGGCTCACACATTATCAACCAACCAACCAATGAAGGTGCTGCTAGTGGTTCTTGATAGCTGTGTAGAATCTGGGGTTGGTCATCTTCCTTTCCAAGTGCAAACTAATGGTTCTTATCAGCCTCTTGGAACTATTTAGTTTTTGAGATGTTACTAGACTAATTGTTGTTCTTTAAGTTTTTCCTGTTACAGACTCACTCTGCTATCCTTCTGAAGCTTATCTACTCACTGTCTTATTTTCTTCCTCCCCTTCAATTTTTTTCCTTCTTCCCCCCCATCCCTCCTTCTTTTATTTAGTCTTGGATCTGGACTTCCAATACTCTGGTCATCTGAAGAAGTGGGTTTTGCCTATGAAAGCTAATGATACCATCTATATGTTTTGTTAGTCTTTAAAGTGCTACTAGACTATTTGTTGTTTTTTAAGTTTTACCTGTTACAGACTAACTCGGCTACCCCATCTGAAGCTTATGTTAGATTTAAATATCTTTCAGGTCCATGGTATTGAAAATGCAAATGTTTATGTACTATTGTATGGAACTTCTTTATCAGAAAGACGGGATTGATACAATCACTGGGAGATATGAGGAATCTCAAAGACTTTTGGAACACTGCATGTGGATTTCCTAGGAAATATGGTGGTGAGAGAAGAGAGTGGGGATGAAGGAAGGGAGTGGTGGGGGGTGGAGGGAATGCAAATGACTCACTTTAGATCCATTCTTTTTAAGCTATTCCCTGCGGAGAGAAACCAATTATCCACTACTTACCTGCTCCTGGAAACTCCAGATCAATGATCCGCTGCACTGTATAAAAGATGAACTGGTTAAAAATGTTACCAGGATCTGAGCTGAACCTGTGATGAATCTAAATGCATAAGGCCAGCACTTGAGTGTGGGTTGAATGACTGCCCTTGCCAGAGCCCATATTAAGGTTGGGGTGATCTCTGGTAAGTTTATTAAACGCATGTAAGTCCTTTTACTGTTTCCAGCATAGTCTTTTCCCCACTATTGCTTTTACCTTAAGAATAAAATGGGCTTTCACAGGAAAAGCTGTGAAGTATCGGATAATGATGGATAACTACTCTGTTATTAGGGTCTGAAGCAAAAGTAGGCAGGTCTTCTTTGGCAGTCTCTTGCTAGGATATCCCAGTATGCTCAGGGGACTGTGAGGCACGTCCTATATAAGCGAGATGATGGCTGGAGGAACAAGAAACCAGTGGGTGCCATTATTGGGCCATAGAGGGGGAATACAGAGATAACTGCCTGAACTGTGACACCTACTTTTAGGAAAAACTTAAACAAGAACAAATAGTCTGGTAGCACTTTATAGACTAACAAAACATGTAGATGGTATCATGAGCTTTTGTGGGCACGGCCCATTTCTTCAGATGAAGAATTCTTCAGATTTTAGGGCAAGGGTGGGCAATAACACAGTGGCAGTTCACCAGGATTAACCTCTGGTGGGCCACCACTGCTTTATTTACATGCACAGCCACAGGTACTGGTGATCGCAGATCCCATTGGCCAAGGATCGCTGTTCCTGGCCAATGGAGAAGTGGGATGGATTGGGACACCGCTTCATGCACCGCTTCCTGCAGTGGCTGGGAATAGTGATCCACAGCCAAGGGAGCTAAGATCACTGATACCTGCAGCCGGGAAGGTAAATATAGCAGTGGGGGCTTATCAGGTGTTAACCCTGGATCCAGCCTGCGGGCCAGTATTTGCTCACTCCTGTTTTAGGGCCTAACTAAAAATGGCCTCATTTTCAGAGATTCCTAGTGTTCACATAGCTTCCAATGAAGTTAATGTGTCTGAAAATGTTTAGCACGTCAGAACCCCCCCCCCAAACCCCACATCACTTGTATTGAACTCTGACTGCAGGCATCTAGCTTCAGAACACTGAGAACCTCACCTTCATTTAGAACAGCAGAGACTCATGTGGAGTCACACAGTCAGCTTCCATGATCCAGTGGTATTTGGAGGGTTAACTGTTTTAATGAAGGGAGAACTGGAGTCGGCAGGAGAAGCCTGTGTACGCTGTGGTAAAAGTAGCAAGTACCTGAGTTTTGATGGTACATCTGTAAAGAGCCTCAGGATAAACGCAGTGATGATGCCAGGACGGTATGTCGTTGGGATAAGAACATAGCGACCCTGTGTAAGGAGCTTCCTCAGGAACACAGTGTGTGTGTTCCTGCATTTGCAGCTTGTGTATCCGATATTCTCTGTTCAACTCCACCTACAATTACACAGCAGAGCAAGATCTGGCATGTTTATTTCTCACTCACAGGTCTTCCTTGCTGCATTGTTTGGTACCGGTTTTCTGTGATGACAAGTGAATGCATACAGAATGATGTGCAGCTATGCAAGAATGAAAATCAAACGTTTGGGTTCCCTAGCCAGACCAAAGGTTCATTTAGGTAGTTCCTGGACATCATCATTATATATTACAATTGGATTTTGTGCTAACGGAGTTGGTTGACATCACCCTTCACCCACAACCACCACCCAACAAAATAGGCAACATTTCTAAACTTTAAATATAATAAAATATTTATAATAATACTTGAGCTTTTAATCCGAGGATCTCGGGGTATGTTTACACTTGTACCCTATTTCGAAATAGGGATGCAAATGCAGCAATTCTAAATTGCAAATGAAACCGGGATTTAAATATCCCATGCTTCATTTGAATAATTGTGTTATGGCACTATTTCGAGGTAGCACTATTTCAAATTAACAGACGCTGTGTAGACGCGGTTATTTCCCTTATTCCTCTTACAATGAGGTTTAACAGTTATTTCGAGAGAAGGGTTTTCTCTAAATAACCACGTCTACACAGAGTCTGTTACTTCAAAATAGTGCTAACTCGAAATAGTGCCATAACGTGATTATGCAAATGAAGCACGGGATATTTAAATCCCGGCTTCATTTGCAATTTCGAATTTCTGCATTTCCATCCCTATTTCGAAATAGGGTGAAAGTGTAGACATACCCTCAAAGCATTACCAAGGATCAATATCATTACCCCCATCACACAGATGGTGAAAATGAGACCCAGTAAAGTAAAATGACTTGCAAAATCAGTAGCAAAGGCAGAATTAGAATAATGGAGAGTGGGAAACCCTTACTATCTGTGCTAGTGACATTGAGCCCCTATATTTTTATGGAAATGTGGGTGAAAAAACCTAACAGTGGCAAAGCAGATACACAGCCATTCCAACCTCTAATGAAAGCTTCTTGTAAACTTCACAGCAACTGAATGTCTCTCAACACTTACGTATAGCTAGCTGGAATTTGTTAAATGAGCTTTTAAAGGGTATATCTACACTACATTCCTCTTTCGAGAGAGGAATACAAATGCAGCCGAGCAAAATTGCAAATGAAGCACGGATTTGAATTTCCCATGCTTCCTTTGCATAGTCACGTCCAGCCACTATTTCAAAATACCTTCTTTCGATATAAAAAACGCCATGTAGACACAGTTGTTTTGAAAGAAATCCCTTCTTTCGAAATAACCCTTACTCCTTAAAAAATGAGGTTTAACAGTTATTTCAAAAGAAGGGGTTTCTTTCAAAATAACCGCGTCTACATGGCGTTTTTTATATCGAAAGAAGGTATTTTGAAATAGTGGCTGGACGTGACTATGCAAAGGAAGCATGGGAAATTCAAATCCGTGCTTCATTTGCAATTTCCCTCAGCTGCATTTGCATTCCTCTCTTGAAAGAGGAATGCAGTGTAGACATACCCAAAATGAAAAACTGCCTTTTTCTCTAAAGAAAATACATTATTTTCTTTTGATTTTTTTTCATTTTTTGACAAAAATCAGAAACGAAAAATTGATGTCTTTCAATTTTTTGTTTTTTCCTGTTTCTCTCTTCTTTCCTCTAACTCCTACGCCCTGCCCCTTTTTTCTTTTTCTGTTTTGCCCCTGACTGGAACAGGGAGCAGTGAGGGCATAAAAGCTAATTAGTGTCAAGATTGAGCATAGTAAGTTTATGGAGGGGAGGGGATGTTCAGAATTGCATGAAACTGATCTGTGACTGCGGATGGAAAATGCCTCCAATGGTCAATGATGAGACACTATAATGGAGACGGTTCTGAGATACTACAGAGAATTTCTTTCCCAGGTGTCTGGTTGCTGGGTGTTGAGCCTCTTGCCCAAATTAAATGTTCATGGTGTAACTGATCACTGCCTTTGGGGTATGGAAGGAATTTCCCAACAGGTTAGATTTGCAGAGACCTGGGAGTTTTTCATTGTCCTCTGCAGTGTGGAACCAATGTCACTTCCAGGTTTGAACTAGTGTAAATGGTGGATTCTCTCTAACTTGAAATGTTTAAGTCACAATTTGAGAACTTCAGTAACTCCGCTAGAGTTTGTTTAGGGGTTTGCAACAAGAGTGAATGGTGAAGTTCTGTGGCCAGTGATCTGCAGGAGGTCAGACTAGGCGATCATGATGGTCTGTTCTGGCCTTAAAGTCTGTGAGAATGAATGATGTGCAGAGTTTGCTTTTTAGTCCCCTACTTTTTCTTCTTGCTTCTTTGGAACTTTTAAAAATGTCCTCAACTTCTGTAACTTTTCAAAGTGGTCAGAGAAAATGGGAGAAGAGACAAATGTTTGGATTCTGTTCATTCTGTTGCATGGGTTCATTGGTAAAATGAAAAACGAGGGGAAAATGAGAACTCTAGCCAATTCCCAGACCTTAACATTTCAAACATGACAATTTAGATAATTTTTTAAACACATTTTTAAAAGTTGTATCAAATCAAAACCTGAGGAATACAAAATAATTCAAAATGTTCTTCAATTTCTTTCCCCTTGCCTCAAATGACTCTAGTTTTGTGATGAGCTGTTTTATACAATCATTAAAAGTGCAGTATTACAAGCTGTCAGGAGGTGGCTGAGTAAACACAATCATGTCTCGGGCGTAAGGCTTGCTATAGCTTGCCATTTCTTCAGCTCAATAGGCAGACATTCGAGCTTTGAAAACGAAGCTCCTAGCAACAACTATGGTATGTGAATGTATTTGTAGTATCTGTGCAAGAATCATGTTGAGAGAAGATCTAAGTTAGAACCCATCCCATGTGAACGATGCTGTGACCCTATTTTTTTAAATATGATTATGCATAACTCAAATATGCTTTAGGCAAAATGGAACATATGACCTTTCCTCAAGAACTTGTAATCCTCTGATTGTGTATACTTGATTTGTGTGTACGTATTTTTCTTGTATGCAAAGTTAGTAATATAAAGTGTAACCATTAATCTAGCTATCTAGGGAAAGCCTTTAGCAGTGCTCAAGAAACTTAATTGCCCAGTACTCAAGACAAGTCCTGTTTTTCCTGTAAGCCTAAACTGTGGTTGGTTGTTTTGCTTCCTATTCCTTACATAGAATTGCCACCTGATGGAATGCATTTTGAATTTAATATTTTTCCACAGGAATGAGGAGAAAAGGACAAAGGATTCCCACCCTGGGGAAATTCTATTTAAGGAATAGGAAGCAATACAATAATGCCTTCATCTGGTTTCACAGACTGCTCCTACCACAAGAGGGCACATGAAAAAAATCATGGAAACAAAGAACTCTAACGAGGGGGCAGAAGCTGATAGAGCCAAGCAAGAAAAAATGAAACAGCTCTGGCTTGAAGAACTCCAGCTGAAATAAGAACTGGGAATGAGAAATTGTGATTTGTAATTATTTCTTTTAGGGTATGTCTACACTAGCCCCCTAGTTCGAACTAGGAAGGCTATTGAGGGCAACTGAAATTACAAATAAAGCGTGGGATTTAAATATTTCGTGCTTCATTAGCATGTTCCTGGGCGGTCGCCATTTTGGAAATTGACTAGCCCGGAATAACTGCCCGCATCTACACGTGGCAGTGAAACGGGAGTTCAAAGTAAAGCCCTTAATTTGAATTAGCTGTTAAACCTCATTCCAGGGGGAATAGAAGCTAATACAAGTTAGGGCTTTACTTCGAACTCCTGTTTCACTGCCACGTGTAGATGCGGGCAGTTATTCCGGGCTAGTCAATTTCCAAAATGGCGACCACCCAGGAACATGCTAATGAAGCACGGGATATTTAAATCCCGCGCTTTATTTGCAATTTCGGTCACCCTCATTAGCCTCCATAGTTTAAACTAGGGGCCTAGTGTAGACATACCCCTAGTGTATTAGACTTAACTAGCGTGTTTGTTTATTTTAGTTTAGTAATTTACTTTGCAAGTGATAACAGATAGATCAACCACTTAAATACTACTTTTTATACTTAATAAAGTCAATTTGTTTATTACCAAACAAAGTGTAAATAATTGTTACCTGAGGGGGAATAACAATGCATATTTCTCTTTCAGTGATAAAGGGAATGAACTTTAGGAGCTTTCTCTGTATAAAAGCTTTTATACAGAGTAAGATGGGTTTATTTGGTGTTTTGGTCCCATTGGGTGCTGTCAAGTCCCTCTGAGTCCTACCAGAGCTGAGCTGAGATCAGAGTCTGTGTTACTTTGCTGGGGGGACTATTACCATAATTCTGTGCCTTTGCTGGGGAGATCAGAACCTCTGGCTCAGCAGGCCAGATGGGGTGCCCCGAGGTGGGTGGGCTCAGTGCTATGATCAACCCATCAGATAACAGTCTCAAGGGGATCTCTGTGACCCAACCAATCACAAATGCATATACCTGTCAAACACCCATTGTTGAGATGAAGCTGCAGTCAGGTGCAGGCTTCCAAAATTCTGACCAGTTCCAAACCCAAATGGAGATGCTTGCCTACCTTGAAGATTTCAAAGCCAATAGGGAAGTTGTCGCCTTTCCCATCTTTCTTGTAAATGCGCTGATCCTGTTGCTGTAGTGAAATCAGCACTTTATCCTCAGCCTTCTTAACATCAAAGACATACTATCAAGGGGGAGAACAGAACAGAGAACCAGTTGTTAAGGCCAACATCTCTAGGATACCTACTATACACAAGAGTATAGTGCAGAGGTATCTGGAAATGGGTTTATCCCTGGAATGATGATTCTGCATCCGTGATCAACTCCTGACAACTTGTAGCTGGAAATTAATTACAACTGTAGAGATTTTGAAACTAACAGTATCAGAGATACTGAATATAGTGTTTCATTGAGACACTGGAGAGGGTCCAAAAAAGAGCAACAAAAATTATTAAAGGTCTAGAAACATGACCTATGAGAAAAAACTGAAAGAATTGGGTTTGTTTCGTTTAGAAAAGAGAAGATTGAGAGGCAACACGATAGCAGTTGTCAAGTATCTAAAAGGGTGTTACAAGGAGCGGGAAAAAAAATTCTTCTCCTTAACTTCCGAGGATAGGACCAGAAGCAATAGGCTTAAATTGCCTTGCTGCACGATGCCCAGACTCCCTGGCCAGACACCCTATCCCAAGCCATCTTCTGGCCAGACACTCTCCCTCCTAGCCAGACACACTCCCTCTTGGCCAGACACCCTACTCTCAGTCTGCTCCTGCATCCTTCCTCCTGGCCAGACACTCTACTCACAGCCTGTTTTTGCACCCTATCTCCCATCCAGACCTTGAAATCCCTCCCCCTTTTGCACATCACCTCCCTCCCAGATCCTGCACCCCATCCCTATCCCACTCACTGGCAGCCCTGTCCCACACTGAATCCCTCATTTTTGTCCCCACCTCAGAGCCTAAGGGGGTCCATAAAATCCACTAACTCTGAAACCCCAGGAAAGTAAATCTGGCCTATGGGAAGCCCTGAACGTCAGTCCTTCCTGTCCCATCCCTTCGCCCCGTGAGGCTGGGCAGCAGAGGAGTGAGGTGTCTCAGTTGGGGGCCACATCAGTGAGGGTTGAGGGTTTTTGAAGGAGTTTTTTTGCTTCTCACTTGTGTGGTCCCCAATTGATTTTTCTGTTGGTCAGTGGCCCCCAACAGAAAAAAAGGCTCCTCACACCTGCTATAAATAAAGAAAAAATGGAAACCTTTTGTGTTGGACATAAAATAATATTTTATTTTATTTAAAATGAAGTTTGATAAACTAACATGAGGAAGTTAAAATGCTTAATCTGCTTAATCATTTAAATTAAATCCTTCTCCCTAGCTGTAGCACTAGCAAATTGATTCAGGTGTAATTATGTAATTAATGGTGCATTTCTATTATCAACTGGTGGTCCATGGAAAGGTCCATTCAGCCAGGTGGTCCATGGGCCCAAAAAGTTTGAGAACCACTGCTATAGATGGTGCTTGGTCCCACCGTGAGGGCAAGGGACTCAACTTAATGGCCTCTCAAGGTCATTTCAGTTCTAGTATTCTAGTATTCAGTAGCATGACAGCAGTTGTACTTTGAAAAGAATAATAAAAAATTAGATCTACATAAACTCTGAGAAAATGGCCAAGATCATAAAGAGGAACTGCCACTGTGTGAATTGAATAAATTCATACCAGCGCTGATCCTTTTCTAGAGAGACGTTTGTGGAAGAGATATAGAAGAGAAGCCATTGTTCCCTGGTAGCCATCTAAAGACAAAGACAAATGGGGAGTTACAGATGATTCCTACTCTGAGCAGCGAAGATTGCAGCTCTCTCGTGCCCTGCTAAGAAAATAGAAGGAATGCTGACAAAAACTACCCATCTAAATGCAGACAAGGAGGCACAAAAACAGTCTGCAACTGAAGTATGTGGAGTGCTGCAAAGAATGTTTGTAAGCAAATGAGATTGATTTTCAAAGTAATGCGCAAAGCATTGAGTGCCCAGCTCCCACTGGGAATAATGGGAGTTTTGCATTTGACTCTTTATGCACTGTGCTGGAAATGTATGACAAGGATGAGAAAGAGGAGCCAGCTAACTTAAATAGTTTGTAAACAATCAGTTAGGAAAAGGAGAGACTTGTGGGCAGTGATGGAAGAGTCAACTCTGGAGAAACTTCCAACTCATTTGCATGTCTTGGAGTCTTATATATCCTTAAGGAGCATAAAAAGTGCAAAGAGATACCCCTTAATCACACTCAGCCAAATTCTCCACAGGGTTAATACTATTCATAAAATGGATTAGTGCCATCAGCAAATTTGGCTGAAAGTTCCTTTAAGTGTTGTAAGAATAGAAAAGGAGTCAGGGCAATGGGTCACTCACCTCCCCTCATCATCATCCATAAGGGACACCTTCTTCCTCCTGGTCTGTGTGGGCCAGGCTCAATAGAACTACAAATGAGTCCTAAATAAATATCTAGGTATTCTGCAAAATACTCCAGTAATCAAAACATATGAGTGTCTTTATACTGTGACAATCTCTGACCATGTTTAAACCAAGGTGGGTTGATTGTCTAAAAGTTCTGCTCTAGGAATTATTTTGGAGGATGTTCATGGCCTGTGTTATACAGGTCAGAATACATGATCACAGTCCCTTCTGGACTTGGAATCTAAGACACAACATGTGCTCCCAGTCCCAGATGTTCTTTACATGGATTGCACAGGCTTCCTCTTCAAGAGTCACCACTAACACCCAAGTCTTTGCCTTCTTCCATGACCTTATCAATAAACTAGGGAAATACAATCTAGACAGGACTACTTTAATGTGGGTAATAACCATTCTCAGATAGTATTTATTAATGTTTCACAGTCATGCTGGAAGGGCATAATAAATGGGGTTCCACAAGGGTTGGTTTTGGGACCGGATCTCTTCATTATCTTCATCAATCATTTAAATGATGGCATAGAGAGTAAGTTTATTAAGTCTGAAGATAATACCAAGCTGGGAGGGGTTGCAACTGTTTTGGAGGACAGGATCATAATTCTAAATGTTCTGGACAAACTGGAGAAATGGCCCGAGATAAATAGGATGAAGTTTAATACGGACAAATGCAAAGTACTTCACTTAGGAAGGAACAATCAGTTTCACACTTGGGCTATGTCTACACTGGCACCCTTTTCTGGAAATGCTTAAAACGGAACAATTTTCTGTTATAAGTATTTCCAGAAAAAGCGCATCTACATTGGCAGGATGCTTTTCCGGAAAAGCACTTTTTCCGGAAAAGCGTCCATGGCCAATATAGACGCGCTTTTCTGGAAAAAGGCCCCGATCGTCATTTTCGCGATCGGGGCTTTTTTTGCGGAAAAGACTACTATGCTGTCTACACTGGCCCTTTTCCGGAACAGTTTTTCCAGAAAAGGACTTTTGCCCGAATGGGAGCAGCATAGTTTTTCCGGAAAAACACTGACAATTTTACAGTAGATCGTCATTGCTTTTCCGGAAAAGCAAGAGGCCAGTGTAGACAGCTTGTAGCTTATTCCGGAAAAGCGGCTGCTTTTCCGGAATAAGTGGCCCCGTGTAGACACAGCCTATACAGAATGGGAAGCTTCAGAAGGGTAGCAGAGTTAGTCTGTAAACTGGAAAAACTTAAAAAACAACAAATAGTCTTGCAGCACCTTAAAGACTGACAAAACATGTAGATGGTATCATGAGCTTTCGTGGGCACAGCCTACTTCTTCAGATGAATGAAGTTATTAAAAGTCCTTTTTCTAAATAAATTGGGGAGGAGGGGGGAGAAGGGTAAAAAGGGGGAATAAATAGTCAATTAAAGTGTCCATACTACATGAAGCTGATAGAGAAGGTGCAAAGTGTGGAAGGAGTACTGCAGAAAGGGATCGAGGGTTCATAGTGGAACACTATGATAATAAAAAAAAGTTCATCTTCACACAGCGTGTAGTCAACCTGTGGAACTCCTTGCCAGAGGAGGCTGTGAAGGCTAGGACTATAACAGAGTTTAAAGAGAAGCTAGATAATTTCATGGAGGTTAGGTCCATAAAATGCTATTAGCCTAGGGATAGAATTGGTGTGCCTGGCCTCTGTTTGTCAGATGCTGGAGAAGGATGGCAGGAGACAAATCGCTTGATCATTGTCTTCGGTCCAGCCTCTCTGGGGCACCTGGTGCTGGCCACTGTCGGCAGACAGGATACTGGGCTAGATGGACCTTTGGTCTGACCCAGTACGGCCGTTCTTATGTTCTTATGTAACACAAGCTAAATATGAGTCAACAGTGTGACACTGTTGCAAAAAAAAGTAAACATAATTCGGGGATGCGTTAACAGGAGTGTTGTGAGCAAGACACAACTAGTAATTCTGCTCTAGTCTGCGCAGATGCCACATGTGCTGTAGGTTGCTGACCCCGATCTAGATGGTTCTTGATCCTCCTGTGAGGGCAGGGGACTGGACTCGATGACCTCTTGAGGTACCTTCCAGTTCTAGTGTTCTATTATTCTACGATTCTTAATGCAATAAGATTCAGTGCAAAGCAACTCCTACCTGGGGATTCTGTAAGAAGGTGGCTCTGTAATCAAAACATCCTCCAGAGCGGTTTTTCAGTGGTTCTGAATGCTTGGTCCATGCCCCACGCACCATTTTCTTCTCCCAGGTTTTGTGGATGCTGAAGTACGAAGTGTTGACAATACGACAGACATCAACGTCGGTGAAGTTCTTGCACCAGTCTTCAAATGCCATCCTGAGCCAGGGACACAAGCAAGGCATGATTTGTAAAAAAAAACCCACCTCAGCTCTGTATAAAACTATAGGGTCCCTTCTTAGAGCTCAAGTCGAGGCATCACTCAACTTTGAACTTCACCCGAAAGTTAATTGATCCATTAGAAACCTTTACAAATAAACACATATAGTTAAAGCCTCCATCAAGTCAGTGCATAATATAGAGAGGCAGCTGTTCAATTGGTTGATTCATTTCTTAAGTTTGTTTAGTTATGGAATCTGATCCTAAGAACATGGTTATATCAGGGCTGGAACTGGCTCAGTTTGTCTGGTGAATGCCATCTGTGAATTTGCTATAAAAGTTCAACACAGAAGCAACCATTGCAGATACCTTTGTATAGCTGCTTGGTCTCCACACGTGGTTATAATATACGGGTCCCTCCTGAAGTGGACTCAGGATGTAAATAGAGTTTAATACAGTCTCTAAAGTATGCTAAGGCACGTGGCATGTGCCATTTAAGTCTCATCTATATGAGTGTTTTAACCAGGACGCATTAATGTGTTTGTGTCACCTCACACAGCTACATACGGGTCTGAAGATTAACATCCAGGAGGGTTAGTCTAGTAATCATGGATCGGGGTCTAGCCTGACATAGAAGTGACCTAGAACCAAGGCATTTAATACTATGTTTCCAATTCTGACAAAGCTAAGAATACACAGTGACACAATGAGTCTTGGGAGAGGAGAACCTTAACGCTCTGTCTGTGGGAAACCCTCACAGCTAACTCATCAGTGATCCAAAAATTCTCTCTGGAATTCAGTGTCCCAAGACTGGAAATCAATAACTAGGATCAAAATGAGTTAATTATGTCCATATTTATAGGCACCTGACTACTACAGTGATGGGTGAATTGGAAATCCATTAGGTAAATGCTGTACCAGGCAGATACAGTTTTAAATACAATTTTGGAGAGTGCCTGATATATAGTAGTTTGCCACGCATAAACTTAGGAAGAAGGGAATTTTCTTAAATACTGCAGTATCATGACTTTGAAATACCTGAAATACAGTACTCATTCACGTAGATATTTTGTTCCGTTGCATCTTTTGCATATGGCTATATCTACACTAGCCCCTCCCCCCAGTTTGATCTAGGGAGGCTAATGAGGGTGACCAAAATTGCAAAGGAAATGCAGGATTTAAATATTCCGCACTTCATTAGCATGTTCCTGGCCGGTCGCCATTTTAGAAATTGACTAGCCCGAAGTAACTGCCCGCGTCTACACGTGACAGTGAAACGGGATTCTGAATTAAAGCCCTTAAATTGAATTAGCTGGTAAACCTCATTACAGGAGGAATAACAGCTAATTCGAGTTTGGGCTTTAATTAGGAATCCCATTTCACTACCGCATGTAGACGCGGGCAGTTACTTCGGGCTAGTCAATTTATAAAATGGCGACCAGCCGGGAACATGCTAATGAAGTGCGGGATATTTAAATCCTGCATTTCATTTGCAATTTTGGTTACCCTCATTAGCCTCCCTAGATCGAACTAGGGGGCTAGTGTAGAAATACTCTACATTTTTTAACCCTTACCCCCTCAGAATCTGAAGAAACGACAATAGCTAATATCTAAAGTCAGTAGCTGAAGAACAGTCACATGTTCTCATGCATTCAGAGATACAACTCCAGAATCAATAAATAATTGTTGAACTTGGCCAGATACAGTAGAGGTTCCTCAAATAAAACCTTTTTACTCACCAGAACTCGCCATCATTTTGAACAATAAGTCCCAAGCTCTTGCGCTCAGAGTCGCTCACTTTCTTCCACTCTTCAGATCTAGAAATAAAAATTGGTTCAATACATGAAATTAAATCTTCGCATTTGAAAAAAAAATGTCATTTTATTGTCCCTTCACATTAAAATACTGTCTGAGCATTGAAAGGATGGATTATATAAGGAAAAGTTTTGCTACTTCAGAGATTACATCACTGACAAATACTTAAAGACAGAATGCTAAACACAGTTAAAGCAGCATTTGATTTACTTCCTCTGACAACCTCTTCATCAGTATAGCTGAGTCATTGGTTTGAAAGGTCAGATTTAGGTGAAATTTCCATGTGAGAATGACATTATTCCTCGAGGACCCTCAAAAAGTACATGAGCTGCTTTGGAAACAGTGGGAATTTCTTCCTGAGCTGTTTATCATGCTCTTCACTTGAATAGGAAGGCATTATCTAAAGCAGTGTTTCTGAAAGTGTACCGTGGAATCACTTGCAGAAACACTTTAACTGGCTGCCCCTGTTTGTTATGTACTGGCACCATGGCCACGCAGCCTCGTGGCTCCCATTGGCTCTGTTTCATCCTTTGCAGACAAGGGGAGCCGTGGGAAGTGGTGGCCCAGCCCACGCCACTTCCCGTGGTTCCCCTTGGCTACAAAGGACGAAATGGAGCCAATGAGAGCCGGAAGGCTCTGTGGCCACGGCACCAGTACATAAACAAACCGGGGTGGCCAGTTAAAGTGTTTCTGGAAGTGTTTCGGTGGTACACTTGCAGAAACACTGATCCAAGGGGTAGCTATGTGAACATTTAGTTTGTGACAAAGTGAGGTGCAAACCACTCCCATGTTAGTCTGCCGCAGTCTGTGCACTCTGCTGATGTGCATTTCCAGTCTGCTATTGCACTTTGATCTAGTCCTGTTTCAAAGATGAAAGTGCTCTAACCTGTTAACAGCCACTCTTCTTTGAGCCTGGGCTAGATCAAAGCAGGATTGGCAAACTGTTAATGTACATCAGCAGAGTGCAAACAAACAGCTAGACTGCAGCAGGCTAGATTCCATTCCAGACGCATTTCTCAATCTATTGTATGAAGCCAAGCCCTAAGATACAACCGGATTTGCTCCGATCCCACAGACAGAGACAAACACCTACAGGATCTATATAAAGCATTCTTAAAACTGAAATACCCACCTGAAGAAGTGAAAGAACAGATTGACAGCCAAAAGAGTACCCAGACATGACCTACTTCAAGACAGGCCCAAAAGAGAAAACAACAGAATTCCACTTGTCATCACCTACAGTCCACAACTTAAACCCCTCCAACGCATTATCCACAATATACAACCTATCCTGGAAAATGACCCCTCACTCTCAGAGGCCTTGGGGGAAAGGCCAATCCTCACCTACAGACACAACCCCCTAACTTCAAACAAATTCTTTCCACACCTCCATCATAATCATCCAGGAATCACCCCTGCAATCAGCCCTGGTACTAACTCTGCCCACACATCTACACTAGCAATTTCATCACTGGACGCAGCAGCCACCAAATCAGAGGCTCATTTAACTGCACATCCACTAATGTGATCTATGCCATTAAATGCCAGCAATGCCCCCACTGCCATGTATATTGGCCAAACTGGACAGTCTCTAC